GTATATAAAAACAGACAATGTAGTGACTGACACTTATAGAAATAAGTAGAAAGGTAGAAGGAGACACAAGTCAACGTAAAGATCAAAAGCTAAAGTTACCGTGCAGGGAATCAAAGCTCTCATCACATCCATATGGCGTATGCGCCTCACTATGGAAACAAATTTACTAAGAACAGGGCCAACAAGACACATTTTCCCTTCCCCCCCCCCCCCCCCCCCCCCCCCCACCCCCAACGGTGTCTTCACTGGTCATGTCTATTTTACAGCTGGAAATCCACAATTTTGAGATTATCTTTAACACTACCGCTAGAAGAAAAGTAAATTAAAGAGAACCTCGACAGCTGAGTTCAATAATACTGCTCTCTGATCACAAAACGATCAAGGAAGAAGAGGAAAAATAAAAGTAGGATGAGAAGAGGGAAGAGAAGGCGTTGTATTTCGCTGAGCTGGGTTGCGACAATGTGAACCACATTCATGGGTTTTCTATGACAATTCATAAAAACATCATGGAAGAAAAAGAAATGAAGAAACATACGACTTGACATTTTTCGAGATTTCTTAACATTTCTTAGATATTTCTGTAAAACTTTAGATATTTATGTATAAAATTATATATTTCTGTGTAATATTAAAATGTCTTTATGAGGTTAGAGATTTTTTCATGTCATCAGAAGTTTCTACTTGGTGTTAGGTACTACTACATTTAGTAGGTATTTTTATTTTTTAAAAAAAATGTTTCTATATGGAATTAGATGTTTATGTGCGGAATTAGATGTTTGTTATTAAATAATATGTTTCTGTAAGAAATTACATGTTTCTGTCTGCATGGAATTATCCGTTTATGTAAAGCTTTAGAGATGTATGTATCATATTATATATTCTAGCACAATATTGGCTATTTCTATTAGCCATTAGACATTTTGCTTCAGTATGATAAGATTATGGATTGGAGACACTAGAAGAGAGGTTTATAGACGTATGGCTGGCCCTGATCCTAGCGACAGCATTAACCATCTAACAAGAAGTGACCAGGCCACCATCTTCAGACTTAGAACACAACATACTCCACTCGGTGGACATCTAAACAGAATACAGCCACAGCACTCCCCAGAGTGCCAGCTATGTAACTACCACTACGAAACTGTTAAATACCATCTCTTTGAGTGCCCAAAACTCAGCGAGACCAGAAGAATGCTACTTCCTCCAATCCCAGACAAGTGGAACACCTTGTACGGAGGAAAAGAACAGCTTGTGAAAACATGCAAATTCCACTACACGGCATTGGGCCAGAGGGCGAAAGCTCATGCGCCGCTGGATCGATATTAACAACAACAACAACACGAAGATTATGGATAACATTACAATGAATTTTACCTCTAAGACGAGAATGGCTACTCCCACACCAATTAGAATCGATTTATTGTCTTTGATCTTGTCAATTAATGTGTCCAAGCAGCCCTGACATGTAGAAAAAAAAATTTAATTTTTGTTATAGTTAAGTGTCATAGAAAAAAATCATGATCATAATCAACACATCACTTTCTTCTCCTTTTTTTTGTTTTTTTTTTTCTTTTTCTTCTTCTTCTTCTTCGTCTTTTTCTTCTTCTTTTTCTTCTTCTTCTTCTTCTTCTACTTCTTCTTCTTTTCTCCCTCCTCCTCCTCTTCCTATCACCACCACCACTACCACTACTGTTAATACTACTACTCCTGATTTTTCCTTTTCTTCTTTTAATTGTGTATCTTCTTCTTCTTCTTCTTCTTCTTCTTCTTCTTCTTCTTCTTCTTCTTCTTCTTCTTCTTCTTCTTCTTCTTCTTCTTCTTCTTCTTCTTCTTCTTCTTCTTCTTCTTCTTCTTCTTCTTCTTCTTCTTCTTCTTCTTCTTCTTCTTCTTCTTCTTCTTCTTCAGGGTTGAGGTTCACCGCTGAATGTAACACCCACTTCCATTTATCTCTTTGATTGAGCTTATTTCTACATTTAATAACATCAAGTGACTTATTCTCAAGTGCACACAAGATACCCCGTGCTATTGCGTGCGGTATGTCCTAGGTTTGCCGACGATGGCCACCAGACATAACGTGGCGCAAGTGAAAGCGTACATGAGGTTATCAGCAGACATCAACCACCCACTGCACAACGCTATCAATGATATAAAAGGAATGCGTCTCAAAAGAGGCTCCTCCCGAATGGCCGAGGCAGAAAATCTAATCCAGCAAGTTTGTGACCTAGACGAGATCAGTCACGGAAAATATTGGACGAACACACCAGTAGACATGCATGACTTGTCTAAGGTTCTCAGAACACTGAAGAGGCACTGCAGGAATCAGATACCTGAACCGTGTGCGCAAACAGTAGGGCTTTGATTGATCAGCATTCACGCATAGAAGACGTCAACATTTACACTGATGGGTCCGTGAAGCCAGGGACAAGATCAACATGGGCCTACACATCACTTGGTGTGGCAACAGCCGCAACGTCCCAGCTGAATACGATGTGGAAGAGCAAAATCAGCATCGCAGTTAAGGTCAGTATTTAAAAATCATTGGTATTGTCTATTTTCCTTAACGGCTGTGAGAGTTAAACTCTCACTGTGAAATGGAAAGGCGAATTTAGGCTTTCGAATATAAGTTGCTACAGGCGCATTTTACCAATTAGTTATTTAGAACACAAAAGCAATAAATATGTCCGAGACAAAATATACAAATTTGCAGGATATCAGCTGTCACTCTTGGCAGTGGTAAAACGTCGCAAGCTAGCTTGGTTTTTATCACGTGGTGAACCATGATTCGATTGCAAAGACTGTGCTTCAATGAACATTGGAAAGTGGGGGTGAGAGGAAGGGGGGGGGGAGAGAGAGAGAGAGAGAGAGCGAAAAAGAGGACAGAAAAGAATCTGTAATGAGTTTAAGAAATTAAGAAATGGACAGGACTAAGTTGTCATACACTTATTCATCAAGCGGAATACAGAGAAAGACGGCGGGTTTTATGTGCTAGTGCTTCCAACAATACACATCCACGACCTTAACGGGTCAAGAGTTGTGTTATGTATGTTATGTACACAGTACAAATGATGGAAACAATAATCAAAGAGGATAGCGGCGCTTACTAGACAACTGTGCCAAGCGTGACCATGGAGATAACTGCTGCTTCTAGAGCACTCGCATGGGTAGCGGAACAAGAGGCCACACATGTGGCAATCGTTTCAGACTCTATAAACATGCTTCAGCAAATCTCTACAGGTAGTCTACGCTCCGAGTGGGCAGAAAGTATTCGGAAGTCGCAGTTAACCTCCATCATCTGGATCTATACACCTAGGCACTAATGAGTAAATAGTAATGAAAGAGCTGGCCAGCTGGCAAGTAATGCATCAATGCGTGACCGAGGGGTTAAGCTTGGTGAAGCACGACTATGACGTCTTTGAGGTAAAGACTGGAGATATTATAACCATGGAAAGAAACAGTAGAGGCACCTCGGAGTGGCAAAGACGTCAATTGTGGTAACATAACATAACTCAACACCAAGTGTTGTGGTCGTGCAAGTAGAATTGTCTTGTAAGAGTCAGTTATCATAGACAGAAATACAGACTTTTTTTTTTCTTAAACACTTAGTTGTCACACACACACACACAAATGTCCTAAAAGGTATGTTTTTCAACAGTTGTTTATCTTCTTCTTCTGACTCCAACAGAAAGTTCTGGTTTTTGTCCACTTCTGGACATCGGCCTTGTTCCAGAAATTGAACTGTGTGTGCACATTCGTTTTACAGAGCTGGCTAGTTGATCATTTTAGCAAGACTAAGCGATCAAGTAATTATGTATTTTCCGATAGTTGGTTGTCACAGGAACGCAAGCAACGAGAGAGTGCACAGCTTTGTTAATGACTGGGTTTGGAATCCACTGTGGGATTTGAGTAAAGTTGAGAGGTTCGATTTTATTGCAGTCGGTTCTATTTAAAAAAAACATTGTCTTTATCCACAGAACGGTTAACTGCATCACATGGAGCAGCAACGCCGTTTCCTGGTGTATATATACATATATATATATATATATATATATATATATATATATATATATATATATATATGCATACATATAGTTAAGAGTGTTGATTCCCTCACCTGCTGATTGATTCACACAAAGAACAAACACTTTAGCTCTAGCAATATTCCCCAGATATCTCCAAATAAACTTGTTAACTGGATCAGGGAATCTTAAATCGAACATACGACTTTCAATGCTTCAGCAAAACAGCTTGACCTTTCGAAAGGAAGGACAAAACGACCCCATAAAAGCTAAACTCTTCAAGTCCCTAGAAACGCATGATGCCTGACTGGCTCTGTGCTAATCGTCCAGAACATCCGGTCATGTGTTTCCTTCCTGTTCATGTTTGAGCAGATCATAGTTTTAAAAAAAAACATGACCAAAACAATGGCAGCGATTTCCAATGCCTAATAACTGATGTGGTGTCCAGTATTTTGTGTGTGTGTGTTTGTGTGTGTGTGTGTGTGGGGGGGGGGGGGGGGAAGGGTGATTGTTTTATATTTTTTAAACAAACAAAACACAAAAACAACCCGAAACACCCCCCCCCCCATACTCAACCCCAAATAACTTTTCATATGAGACCTCCAGGTACCAATGTTGAATTAAGAATCGAATCCCAGCACTCGCGACACTTCCATAACGCTCCGTCCCCATCTTCAGCAACAAGCGAAGAGTTCCAACTCCAACAGCCCCAGTAACTGCCTAATTATAAATGCATCTCGCCGTTCCCTTGAGTGTTAAGCGTCATCAAGCGCCCATGTAACTCCTCTCAGCGCCATTCTTCTCAGACCGTGGTGATCTGTCTGTGTCTCTGCACCGATCATTCGCTCCAAAATGGCCCACACCTTATAGCTTGTCATACATCAGTTCAACACCAAGTGGTGCAAAACCGGCCATTTTATCTGCCTGCTCATTTCCCAACACACCAGCATGAATCAGGAGAAAATATCTGAAGGACGCCAACTACCTGGGACCTCTGAATTGATGCTTACCACTCTGCACATCTGCTTGTCTCCATCTTTCTCAACATGCTCTGTGAGTCAGTCACAATCACAAACCCCTGGTACTAAAAGATTTTAAATAAAAAAAATAGGGTATTACCTCAGTGTAAGCAAACTTTGGATTTGGAATACTATTCAGACACTGTTCTTGTTTCACAAAGATCTCGTTAGTTAACACAGCTTTGTAGTCGAAGTCTTTGCAACATGTTATTGGAATGTATTCAGCTGTAATAGCGCCAGAGAGTTGACGCTGCGGAGCTGCGATGAAGCCCCTATTACGCTTGCTGCCACTGTCGTATGGAAAGTTTTCGGAGTAGTTGCTGATGCCACAGCATTCAAGCTGTGGAATAAGATAAAAGCGTCAAAATTAGTAAAGCAGACTATCTTTGAGCATTTGAGTTAAAAAACATTGAAGTTCCATTCAAACCACCACTTAATCCTTCCCCCCCCCCCCCCCACCCCGCACAACAGAGGCTCTCAACCATCCTAAACCTGGACCCTTTAATTAATACAGTTCCCTCATGTTACGGCGACTCCCAAACAATTATTTTTCGTTATAACTCCAATGAATATGTTTGTTTCTATGGTCTTAAGCGACCCTTGTGAAAAGATTAGTCGCAAGACTGCTTTCGGAAGTTCATAATAATGATTCTTCTATCTTAGTTGTAACCCAGCTTTCAAAACTATATATGACCACTGGTTTTTCTTTAGAGTAGCTCCAAAAGTGAAAGCATCAAACAAACAAAAATTCTACCCAGTGAACTCGTGTATTTATCGCCTCAAGGAACTCTAAACACATACGTTCTACCAACCCTAATGATCGGAAGGGAATGATGGAAACTATGCAAATTACTGGAACATTAAAAAAAAAACTGCAGAAATTCTGTTTGATTGAAGAATGGTGAAAATACCATAAGCAGATAAACAATACAATATAGATATCGTGTGAGATACTAACTTACACAGATAATTTAATACAATCATCAGAAGAGGGCCTTTTACTTTTGGAACCTTTTTGTGAAGGGGAAAACTTGACAATGTAAAATAGAAGCGGGAGAGAGAGGCAGAGGAAGACCATGACAGAACCTGTTCCATAGTTTGTCAAAGTGACTTGAAAAAAACATCTGTATCCATAGTGACTAGTACGACATGAGACAGGAGGCTGTTTATACATATACAATATTCATCGCCTCTTGGTATTTGCTGTAGGAAGGAATCATCTATTCAATGTTCAAATGTCAAATGTTAAAGTGTCAATAAATATTTTTGTCTTGAAATTGCAATAATAACCTTCCATTTAATTATTAACCAATTACCTTTTGCCAATGAGATAGTGTACTTTTGTGCTGACTAACACAGTTACTAAGACAACTAAACATAAGTATGAGCGCTAAGAAACATATTTTAAACCGCACATTCATACCAACACTGTGATACCAGTGCCAGGTTTGGACATTATCAAAGGTTAAGCTACTTAAACATTATTACATGTGCAGATAGATGCATAAAAAAGGCCGACAATTTAACCATCCGAAATCAAGCTGAACATAATGTATATGATATAAAAAATCTTCGTTGTGCAGATGATACAGTAATGATAGCTGAAAACACAGAGGACCTACAACATCTATTAGACATTGTTCTACTAGAGAGTACAAAAAGAAGGGACTTGCCTTGAATGTAAAGAAAACAGAAACAATGGGTATATCCAAAATAAGACATAGCAATAGAAGGAAACGTGCTTAATCAAGTCAATCAATGCATGTATTTGAGGGACATCAATAACATCAGTTGGACTATGTCTGACAAAAATTAAGAGCAGAATTGCCCAGGCAAGGGCAGCGTTTTGAAAGATAAAAAGTGTCTTATGTAATAAATTACTCTCATTAAACATAAGAAAATGAGTACTGGAATGTTATATCAAGCCTGTTCTGTTGTATGGCAGTGAATCATGGAATGTGAGCAAACAAATTAATAAGAGCTTGAAAGCAGCTGAGATGTGGTTCTTAAGAATATTGTTGCGAATACCTTGCACTGAAAGAATAACTACAAAAGATTGCCTGGAAATAGCTAATAAAAGTAGAACATTATATTCAACAATGAGAAGGAGACAAAGTTCTTTGGTCATGTGATGGAAAAAGGAGCAATGGAAAATGTCGTGACGACTGGAAAGATCACTGGTAAAAGAAGCAGAGGCAGACCAAGAGAAATTATGGTGGGTGGCTCAAGACAGTGGCATGGAAGAATATCATCAGTGGAAATAATCCAGAACACAAAAGACCGAGATCTGGAGATGCATGAACGCCTACGCTAGACTGGGGAAACAACACCATGCAGTCTAATGTATTGAGAAACCGAAGATCGATCAAATGGGTTAGTCATCTAGTAAGAATGCAGCCAGAACAACTACAAACACAGGCACTACATCCGAACAGATAGTATGTGAAATCAAGAGTTTGCCCTAGGAAAATATGGACTGATGATATTAAATAACTTCGACATCGACACGGAATGACAATAGCCATTGCTGTCCATTAAGCAATGGGTCGCAGAATGTCCCTCCAGATGACGCTTAACGGATGAAGTGAAAATTGTTTGATGATGATGATGATGATAATGACCATATGTTCCAATATTATCCAAAGACATCGTGATCAAATATTAACCAACCACATAATATTGGAGAAAATTTAAAAACGAAAACTTGCTTCAGCAATGCAGAGATAAAACAGTATGAAGAACCTATGGCTTTGGAGCTGCAAAAAGAAAAAGTAAAAGTTTTGAGATCGTGAGTCTCTTTTGTGGCAGTTTATGGATATCAGGCATTGACTCTTTCTCAAATACTGAAGAAGAAATACAAATGGTTCTTTTGAACTGAAATATTACAGAAACATTTAAAAACACAGTGGACCAAAAAGAAGAAAATCATAGACATCTTCCATGACCTGAACATAGAGGAGAACTGGTTCATAAACAGCACCCCATCCCGAAAGTTCGAGCATTTTGGCCAGGTTAAACGGCATGATGGCTTGGAAAACTCGATATTGAGGGTACCATTTCAGTAAAATGGGACAGAGACCGGCCTCTGCAAAAGGAAATACAGGCATTGAAGATCAGTGGCTATAGGAGCACATAGGGCTGGAGAATTTGTAAGAGAAAGAGATTCTGTCAGAAGTGCCGTGACGAGAGCAACATTATGTAAAGAACCTGTTAACTGATGACAATGATTTTGCTTTTACCTCTAACTGCACGGGTGGCGTACAAATTGAGTGCAGCTGGATGGAACTCGGCTGTCAGAATTATGAAATAGTGTTCATATCCCCAAAACCATTGAGACCGACAACAGACAACTTACCTTAGAGAAGAGAGCACTGTAGGCTTTGGAGATGTCGTTAGTACTGTTTTCATAATAGCGCCCGCTGAGACTGTCGTTCATTGCTTTGCTCACACTCTCTTTGGTCTAAGATACAATTATACCAAACACCTTAATGTGGTGTATGAGAGTGTGGTTTGTGTGTGTGTGTGATGTGAGTGTGATGTCCGTGTGTGTGTGTGCGCTCATCAGTTTATTCTGCAGTGTCGTACCACGTCACAGGTATTTCTAACATCATCATCATTATCGTGGGGGTAGGGGGAGGAAAATAAAAAAGGGGGGGGGTGGGGTGGGGGTCGCCCCATGGCGAAGAGCTCAAGCTGTTTGCCTTGCAATCAAAAGGTCGTGTGTTAGTTTTACGGTTGTATCGTTCGGTTCACGAATGCAATTTTTACGGGGACCAGTGGGGATCTTCGCCGGAGCCACAGTGTTCTTGCTTTGTGCGTCGTTCTAGGCAGGTGGCCAGCCCATCTGCGGACAACGACCCAGCCATTTAGAATAAAACCTGGTGCAGTCTTAGTCTTTGTCGAGGTTTTAACTTCACTGTAATCGGGTCATTCCATACTTACTCCATTTCCTGTGCCAAATCAAATGTCCCTTACTGCCCGATTTGAAAAACTGGTGATCAAATAATTACTCCCGGCACAATCCAGAAATATTTGCACGCAGTAAATGCATATGGCGGTTGCTAGATGCGCTAAAGCCACCAGTTGCCACCAGTTTATCTTTGATGGAAGTATTTTGGGCACGATAAGTTGGCTTTACACAGGTAGAATTATCTCATAAGGTATTTCCACAGCCCTCACGTCAACAGGCTGCCGGCCATATTGAATACTGCGCCTCAACCGCTGCACAAATGAAAGGCATGTTACATGTAATACACAGCTCACAGGGCTGCACCAAGCATTAAACTCAGTAGCTCAGGCAGCGAAACGGTAGACTACCGTCCATATGTGCAAACTGCATTAGCAAAGCGCTATCGGAAGCAAAACTAACTTTGAAGCTTAACATTGTGCCGTGTCTAGTCCTCCATTTTAGACCGGAAGTCCTTGTGCAATGACGTCGGTCCTCTCAGCTTTGTCTTAAACATCATCATCATCATTATCATTCTGCTGCGTCGTTATAAGGGAGCAGGCCATCGAGAACTCAGTTCAGCTCTCTGTTGTGCAAACTTGTCGAAATCATAAACAGAACCCAGTCCAGCACGGCTAGCGGCATCAACGTTCATCAAAGGTTTCTTGTTTCAATATCCTTGTTTCATTAAACTATGTGTTTCCCATTTAAGTGTCTGTTTAATTCTGTACTCACTTTGCCCAGTATATTTCCTTCTTTTTATCATACACTTTGACCACAGCTGTTGAATACGCAACTCACATACACAGTGTAATATATAAATATAGATAGATAGATAGATAGATAGATAGATAGATAGATAGATAGATAGATAGATAGATAGATAGATAGATAGATAGATAGATAGATAGATAGATAGAGAGATAGATAGATAGATAGATAGATAGATAGATAGATAGATAGATAGATAGATAGATAGATAGATAGATAGATAGATAGATAGATAGATAGATAGATAGATAGATAGATAGATAGATAGATAGATAGATAGATAGATAGATAGATAGATAGATAGATAGATAGATAGATAGATAGATAGATAGATAGATAGATAGAGATAGATAGATAGATAGATAGATAGATAGATAGATAGATAGATAGATAGATAGATAGATAGATAGATAGATAGATAGATAGATAGATAGATAGATAGATAGATAGATAGATAGATAGATAGATAGATAGATAGATAGATAGATAGATAGATAGATAGATAGATAGATAGATAGATAGATAGATAGATAGATAGATAGATAGATAGATAGATAGATAGATAGATAGATAGATAGATAGATAGATAGATAGATAGATAGATAGATAGATAGATAGATAGATAGATAGATAGATAGATAGATAGATAGATAGATAGATAGATAGATAGATAGATAGATAGATAGATAGATAGATAGATAGATAGATAGATAGATAGATAGATAGATAGATAGATAGATAGATAGATAGATAGATAGATAGATAGATAGATAGATAGATAGATAGATAGATAGATAGATAGATAGATAGATAGATAGATAGATAGATAGATAGATAGATAGATAGATAGATAGATAGATAGATAGATAGATAGATAGATAGATAGATAGATAGATAGATAGATAGATAGATAGATAGATAGATAGATAAATCCTTAGTTAGTTAGTTAGTTAGTTAGTTAGTTAGTTAGTTAGTTAGTTAGTTAGTTAGTTAGTTAGTTAGTTAGTTAGTTAGTTAGTTAGTTAGTTAGTTAGTTAGTTAGTTAGTTAGTTAGTTAGTTAGTTAGTTAGTTAGTTAGTTAGTCAGTCAGTCGGTCAGTTAGTTAGCTAGCAGGTTAGTTAGTAAGTTAGTCAGTCAGTCAGTCAGTCAGTCAGTCAGTCAGACAGTCAGTTATTTGACAAATCATCCTCTTCGTGTTCGGAAGAAATCAGACTATAAATGCGCTTCTCAGGAAATTCCACAGCTTGTAGCGGCCAACGACACTGGTTCTGTACTAGTTTATTCTTCTTCTGTAGCTTCCTGAAGTGGGTTCTTGTCTGGCCCAACCCATTTCAGCCTAAATTGATATTACAAATATTGCATCTCTACAACTGTACATAAGTTACTTTACAAACGGCTGTATTAAAGCGCTTTGTCAATTAGGAGTGACCGCTGCCAAGTTGGCAATGAGCATGCTGCATTCTGTATCGAATGTCAGATCGTCTGAAAGTGAAGAAAAATATGAATGGGAAAAGAAAGAGAGAAAGAAAGAAAGAGAAAAGAAAAAAAAAAGAAAGAAAGAAAGAAAGAAAGAAAGAAAGAAAGAAAGAAAGAAAGAAAGAAGAAGAAAAAAAAGAAAAAGAAAGAAAGAAAGAAAGAAAGAAAAAGAAAGAAAGAAAGAAAGAAAGAAAGAAAGAAAGAAAAGAAAAGAAAGAAAGAAAGAATGATAGAAAGAAAGAAAGAATGATAGAAAGAAGAAGAAAGAAAGAAAGAAAGAAAAGAAAGAAAGAAAGAAAGAAAGAAAGAAAGAAAGAAGAAAGAAAGAAGAAAGAAAGAAAAGAAAGAAAGAAAGAAAGAAAGAAAGAAAGAAAGAAAGAAGAAAGATAGAAAGAAAGAAAAAAGAATGAGAAGAACAGAAAGAAAGAAAGAAAGAAAGAAGAAAGAAAGAAAGAAGAGAAAGAAAGAAAAAGAAAGAAAGAAAGAAAGAAAGAAAGAAAGAAAGAAAGAAAGAAAGAAAGAAAGAAAGAAAGAAAGAAAAGCAGATACAAGTATAGGGTTGTGGAGCCTTAAAGGGTAGGGGAAAAAACGGAAAAAGACAGCTACAGTAGCCCGCCCCCCCCCCCCCCCCCCCCAAACAAAAACATAAGAAACAAACACATATGAGAGAGAAGGGCAGAATAAACAGCCTAGTTAGACGCGGCACGTACCTGATCAGCGTGAGTTGCCACAAGGGCGACTAGAGCAATCTCCGCCGCTACAAGAATCAGTACAATGATGGAATACTGTGGAGAGAAGAAACGTGTTAACACTGAAGCAGAGGCGGATCGTGTCAATAGCCAGGTGTAGTCAGTTGGTCTGTGTAAGTGTTAAGTGATGTCGGTAACAAAAGCGCGGATGTCGCTAGAGACGCCGAAGGTTTTCCATGTGTGTTTCTAAGTGATTCAATGAGTATGCTTAAGAGGATCGAGACAGGTTAGATTCAAAATAAATGTTTGGAGTCCTTGAAGAAATCTCGTCTGATAGAACTGTTTCAATTTTGTGCCACGACACTCTGGGGTAAGAGACAATGAGCGAGCGGATTGGCTTGCTGGCAGGGCCACGGCAGGAACAGGAAAAGCAATGGGCCAATCCGGTATTCTCAGTGCTCTCAAAGAAGCAAGACCAGTAGTTTAATTAGGAGACGACAGTGAGTCGGCAACATTCAAAAATACTCTTAAAACTTCAGATAAAAAGAGATGACAAAGAAGAATAGTAAAACAGCACCGTACTGGTATTATCAGTTGCCATACGCTGAGGGATGAACTAAAGATGAGATTTGAGCGATAATGGACTTGTCTGATGTACAATAACGATAATCTGTTGATTAACTAACTAAGCGCTAGCTGGTACCGGAGACGGCATCACGTGATATTTTCCTCCTTATCGCTTGGCTGGTGAGACTACGCAGCTAGCAATTTTGTACTGATAACTGGTTAATTTCGCACGTTTCAGTTTCTGTGACAGTGGTGCAAACAGGTAAACCTAGTGGCGTATCTGTAATAAACAGTAAGAAATAATAATATATAGTAAAATATTCGCATACGCATTTTATACATTTCACACTAACAGTTTGCAAGAAAAATAATGCAGGGCAAAACTTAATGAATAAACTCCATAACGTGCTTTTGTAAAAGCAAGACGTTCAATATCAGCTGCACTCACCAAGCCCAGGAGGATCCTTAGCGTGCAGCAAGCACCGATGCACCCCAACAGGGAGACAATGATGATAAATGCGCCAATAATGATCCCAGTATATCCCAGGATGTCTCCCGCACTCTGCAGGTCAAATTCGACCTTATCGGAAACGTCTATGAATGCCTCCCTGACATCATTCCAGCCTAACTTGAACACAATCCCCACTGCAAGAGCAGCAATGCCAAAAATCTGCGAACAAACAAAAAATGATTGTGATGATGTATGTGAGAGATGTGGAATGTGTGTGAGTATCGACTGTGTAGGTTGTGTATAGAGAGAGAGAGAGAGAGAAAAGAGAGAGAAAGCGCGAGACAGGGAGAGAGAGAGAGAGAAAGAGAGCGCGCGAGACAGAGAGAGAGAGAGAGAGAAAGAGAGAGCGCGAGACAGGGGCGAGAAAAATGAAAAGAGATAAAGAAAGCGCGAGACAGGGGGAGAGAAAGAGAGAGAGAAAGGAGATAAAGCGCGAGACAGGGGGAGAGAGGGAAGAGAAAAAAGAGAGAAAAGAGAGAGAGAGTGCGCGCGAGACAGGGAGAGAGAGAGAGAGAGAGAGAGAGAGAGAGAGAGAGAGAGAGAGAGAGAGAGAGGTTTTCAGGACATAATTCAACTTAAATAAAACCCTAAAAACATACCTGTTGAAACATCTATACATACACACATACAGACATCAACACATCCACAAATACAGACATCCACACACGCACACACACACAATGTAATGAGAAATATAAAAGTGTTGATAACTATAATAAGAAATATTCACCTGCACCCAAAAAACGGGATCAGTCTCGATATACCTGGCTTTGGTGTTTGATATGTTTAATTATTTCTACAGCTAGAGCTGAATCTGGTAAAATATAAGAACCATGCCGATGTTTCTGTAACTGATAGGACCTATTGGACCAGCTATATTGTCCAAAATCAGAAAAATAAAACAAGAATAAAAAAGGGCCCTTTCTCTTCCTTCATGCGTATTGGGCACTTGGGCTGGACCTATAGACCAATCGGCACTCTGTGGGTGATGTGGTGAACATCGAGTCGGCCGCCTTTACTTCCCAGGACTATACTTAATACCAATTTAAGGCTGGATTGACCTGGGAGCCAAGGTCATTTTAAAAAAATCCGGCTTCATCAGGATTCGAACCCACTACCTTCCGATCCTGCGTGGATTTTTGTCGTGGTATGGGACATCGCAGGTCGACCCAGCCTAAAATGGGTACCAGGATGGGCTGTCCTGGGAAAGTAAAGACAGCCGACGTAATGCTGACCACATTACCCACAGGGTGCTGATGGTCTGTAAAAATAATGGGACGCTCTGCCCATATGCCCGATGCGCCGAAAGGCGTGGAAAAGGGATCTTTACTTTACTTTACTTACCTTCCGATCCGCAGACGAGCGTCTAACCGCTACATCATGTCGGTTCCTGAACATGTAATAAGAAAGTGGAATTTTCTAAGTCAGTAGTTGCCACTGACTTGTCCTTAGACTCCCAGGGAGAAATACAAAGAGCTGAACCCACCAACTCCACCCCCCCCCCCCCTTTTTTTTTTTCTTTTAAATATAACGTCCCGAGTACTGGAGACAAGAGTGACAAACATCGCTTCAGAGATCCCGGGTAGTTAGCATCCTTTGGATATTTTCTTCAGGTGTTGCCAGTGTGTTGGGAAACGAGCAGTAAGATGGACCGGCCGATGTGCATCACCTGGTGTCAACTGTTGTATGACAAGCTTTTCCACCCCCACCCGGCATGTTGTAGTAGGCGAATACTTAGACATTTGTTAAAAATCAGATGTGTTGTGCCGAAGTAAACAAAAATCGAAGACCAGCTCTCAACTACAATACAGTGAGCCAACTACCCTTTCAGGGCGAACTCAGAGGAGGTTTCAAGGTAGGAACCATGCTGTTAGTTTCAGCAGTGCCGTATTTCAGATGACACCCTTGTGCATTTGTCAGCTAAACTTTAGCATCACTGAGGATGTGAACCAGCGTCATTGCACTTGGTAATAAACCACCAGTACGGACAGCTGATAAGAAGCTGTCCGTCTGTGTCGCCGTCCGCACGCAACTACGTAGCTACAGCTACGTTCCTCCACTTACCATAGAGTGTTTACCCTGGTACTCATTTCCTAAAGATTGGACGAGCCCCGGGAACCGCCCGGTTTCGAACACCCACGGTGGACTGCAGCAAGTCGCAGCTGGATTTGAAAGCGAGTCTCCTATCGACTGCGCTAATGCCCCCCTTCCTTCCTGAATTTACCTTTTTTTAATGCCAGAACGCTAATCTACTACGGGTTTCATAACGATAAAGGCACTAGACATGTAGACATTTAATTAGGGCTATTTATAATATGTCACATATAATATCTCCCTTCCCATCATCCTCCTCCTCGACTCTTTTCCAGCTCAAAATGTGGTCACACTGAGCAGCTGCACATGTTTCACATGTCTAAATACAGCCGTGCAAGTGTGAGCCTCGCTACCCTCGAGTCAACGGAGTTTCAGCTACATAGTCCTTGCGGGTATGTTGCCGTATGTTTAACACAGGTGATAAGACGGACAGCAGGCCATACACCAAGCAGATATACACAGACGCCAAAGCGCACACATAGACACACAAACACGGACACACACACAAGCGATGCACATAACCACAATCACATGCACACCACACATGACACACACATACACTTACACACTCACACACACGATGCACATAACCGCAATAATATACACACTACACATGTTAGACACACACACTTAAACAATCACACACATACAAGCACACACAACACAGACACACAGGCTCCCATTTGTTACTGAAACATTTTGCTAAACTGGCACCGCTGCTGATATGGCGCCCTGATTATCAGTAAGCAAGATACGGCAACTGGGAGGTGGGTGTGCTAATAAAGTCAAACAAACGAAGAAGACCGAAGTCGGAAATTAGGGTTTTTTTTTTTTTAGGGGGGGGGGGGGGGGGCAGGGGTGCAAAAAAGGGGGAGGGGTGGCTTAAATAAAATCACACAGCAAGCGCCCTATCTAAACAGGTCATGGAATGAAGATAGAATGGGTGCAAAAATGGGACAAAGTACATACACCATTAGCTGTCTTCTTCTTCTTCTTCTTCTTCTTCTTCTTCTTCTTCTTCTTCTTCTTCTTCTTCTTCTTGTTCTTCTTCTTCTTTTTCTTCTTCTTCTTCTTCTTCTTCTTCTTCTTGTTCTTCTTCTTCTTCTTCTTTTTCTTCTTCTTCTTCTTCTTCTTCTTCTTCTTCTTCTTCTTCTTCTTCTTCTTCTTCTTCTTCTTCTTTTTTTTTTTGTCCTGGTTTTATACCTCCTCCTCCTACTCCGCCTCCTCTTTTTTTTCCTACTTACTTGATTTCGGCACCAAAAAAAGGAACAAAGCAAATAAAATTGTGCAAACTGTTTCTTGTTCTTCTTTTTCTTCTTCTTCTTTCTCTTCTTCTTTATCATCATCATCATCATCATCATCTTCTTCTTCTTCTACTTCTTCTTTGTCTTCATCTCCTTCTTCTCTTTCTTCTTCTTCTTCTTTTTCTTCTTCTTCTTCTTCTTCTTCTTCTTCTTCTTCTTCTTCTTCTTCTTCTTCTTCTTTTTCTTCTTCTTCTTCTTCTTCTTCTTCTTCTTCTTCTTCTTCTTCTTCTTCTTCTTCTTCTTCTCCTTCTTCTTCTTCTTCTTCTTCTTCTTCTTCTTCTTCTTCTTCTTCTTCTTCTTCTTCTTCTTCTTCTTCTGCTTCTTCTTCTGCTTCTTCTTCTTCTTCTTCTTCTTCTTCTTCTTCTTCTTCTTCTTCTTCTTCTTCTTCTTCTTCTTCTTCTTCTTCTTCTTCTTTTTTTTTTCCTTCTTCTTCTTTGTCTTCATCTCCTTCTTCTTTTTCTTCTTCTTCTTCTTCTTCTTCTTCTTCTTCTTCTTCTTCTTCTTCTTCTTCTTCTTCTTCTTCTTCTTCTTCTTCTTCTTCTTCTTCTTCTTTGCCTTTACCGGCTGTGAATTTCTGATTGTTCGTCCACTTCCGGTCTTGTTCCAGAATTTAAAAATATAGTTCCCATTAAAAATATATTAACACAAATAATATAAAGTTTATGCACATGTATTTTAAAAGACAATATCTATACACACCTAAAAGGTGTATCTAGCGCTCATTTTATGTTAAAAGTAATCTGAACAATTTTTCTATGGCGGGTGGGGGAAGGCGGGGTACGGGGGGGGGGGGGGGGGGGGGGAACGGGATGTTTGATCCTGTTTTCGGACAAACATGTTATTCAACCAGGCCAGCTCAGATCAATTTTTAAAAAACATCGTTTCTCCGAGGTTTGACCAGTACTGTTGGGGTCAGCATGCAGGCCTGCTAGCTATTGCATTTACACAGCCTGCAAACCAGAATCTCGTTTACTTACTGTGTTGGCCTGTTTTGGGGATGCACTATAACTGGTTATTATGATCGTTATGAAGCCGCACGTCAATACTCACCAGAAAAATGACGTTGATTGTCACCATAACCACTTTGGAAAGGTTAACGCTGGCCATTTTGGATTATTCGTCCTGACCAAGGTCTTGTCCTTAACTGCAAACAGACATTAGAGATCATAACAACAAAACCTTATCATACTGCTGGCTACGTATAAAATGTGGGTGATTGTTTTTATATGTATGCCGATCATAACAATTGTGTATCTTCTTCTTCTTCTTTTTCTTCTTCTTTTTCCTCCTCTCCTTCTTTTTCTTTTTCTTCTTCTTCTTTTGCTGCTGCTGTTGCTGTTTCTGCTCCTTTCTCTTTATCCTCTTACTTACTTATTTACATTCTTGTATTTATACGTTTAAATTCCTGCACACGTACTAAACAAATGGCAGTGACTGTATGAGTTATGAGTTGGATTATCTTCACAGCACTCCAGACACATCCATAGGTGCTCAGATGCTTCCCTCGAAATATTCATCAGCGTTTTCGTGTGCGTCCAGTGTGCTTCTCATGTTTGGCTACGCCGATCTTTACTCCTACTTCTCGTCATCTTAGCAGTGATGTGGACACGTTGCTTCCAAAATCCTCGGCACATCCTATCTCTCTAATGGCAATGATAATGTCTGCGTGAGCCATGGGCCGGCCATCTTCAATCAATGCAGCACCTGCCAGTCTATCTGCTCTTTCATTACCAACAACACTTGCATACCCTGGGACAAATATGAACGTAACTATACACACGGGCAGTGACTGTAATTACATTTCTACATCATTCATTTCTCTCATATTACCATCACATGTGCCTTCCAAGTACTTGTTGTTCCCCACTTTCTACAACCAAAAATGGTGAAACTATGGGGGTGACTGCAGTCAAGCTAATACAATGAATTCCAGAAAAATTTGACTAAAAAGCTCAACAAAATGGGAAAGAGGAAAACGTGCACAAAACAACACAACGTAACGTTTCGGCCAGGCAGCCTTTTTCAAACACAAGTGAAATACACAAACGAGGAATGGAGAGTATGTAGATCTCTAAGGGGTGACGTGAGCGACGTTTAAAAAATGTGATGCGGAATAAATGAAATAAAATAAAATAAACGATGGCTAAAAAATATAGTCACAATACTGGGAATAAAAGAAATGCAAGTGTTAATGATACATAAATGATATTGATAAGAAGTATAATATGGTGATAATATGAAATAAAATAAAATAATTAACTTTTAAAATGTGATAAGATTAGAACTATTTAGATGAAGGTATGTTGGATATTGATACCTCTTGGACTAAGAACGCCAAGGCTGTGGATAAGGCGATTTTGGAAAGCGAGGCGGGTAGTATGATTGCCAGAGCAAGATTTTAATGCTGTGACAGATATGTCATCTTTACCGCTGTGGTCAGGGCTGTTAAAATGAAGAGGGATTGGTTTGAGTGTCTTCTTGTCGATATCAGAGAGGTGTTCCCGGAAACGATCAGCTAGCTTCCTGCCAGTCTCACCAATGTATGCCTTGCTGCATCGTTTGCAGATAATTGCATAAATTACGTTGCGGGATTCGCAAGTAAAAGGTTCCCTAATTTGAAAAGAACCATTAGGGAAACTGACCGAAGAAGTCTGGACAACGAAAGGACATGTTTTGCAGGTGCTGCGTGAGCACTGAGTAGTCCCAAGAGGAAGTGCTGTATGGATCGGTGGGAGTCGGCTTCGGACAAGTATGTCTTTAAGGTTGCGATCTCGTCTGTAAACTAACCTAGATTAGTTTTATCGGGTTAATAATTTTACGATTCACGAATACTAGGTTGTATAGGGTTAATAATTTCAAGACTCACGAATACTGAATTTTATAGGGTTAATAAATTTACGATTCACAAATACTGGATTGTATAGTGTTAATAGTTTCACGATTCTCAAATACTGAACTGTAGAGAGTTAATAATTTAACTATTCTAGAATACTGAACTGTATAGAGTTAATAATTTCACGATTCTCGAATACTGAACTGTGTGGGTAGAAAAACAAATAAAATGGTTTGGCCATGTGAAAAGACTTGCACCAGACAGGGACCACAGAGAGCAATGTTATACAGATACAGCGGTAACAGACCCAGAGGTCGACCTTGCAGAAAATGGACTTCAGCAATATCAGAGACAATGAGAAGAAGTTTATACGAAGGGAACAGAATGGCCTGTTCTGGATATCTCTTCCTGCCCTGACACCGTGAGGCATTCCAGGAGCACAAAAAAAGAATAAGAATATATATATATATATATATATATATATATATATATATATATATATATATATATATATATATATATATATAGAGAGAGAGAGAGAGAGAGAGAGAGAGAGAGAGAGAGAGAGGTGGGTGGGGGGGGGGGGAGACAGAGACGCTTGCTAAGTCTAAGTCCGGGTGAATGAACCTCCATATATGGAAACGTATTACAGTCATTATATAAACACTAAAAGTATTTCACGGCCCTGAGCCAATGATCCAGTAACGAGACATTTCTAGATCGACAGCAGTAACAACAACACTGCACAATAAATCATTCTAGAAACAGCGACGT